GCAACAAAAAAACCCAACGCAACAAAAAAACGCAACACAACAAAAAATCCAACACGACAAAGAAACCACAAAAACCCCCTAAACCAAACAAAAACCCACCAAAAAAACCCCAAAACAACAAAAATCTGCTGGTCATGGTTCAGTTCCTCAATGCAGAACTCCTAGAGATGCAGGGACTGGAGTCTGGCAGGAGGGTGGGTGGGTTTCCCGAGGTCCCTCCTGAGCGCGTGGCAAGACAGGCAGTGGGTGCTCAGGAGAGACCTCGTGAAAATCAGGTCACCAGCTTCCCTGGAGGCCCTGACATCTCTGACAAACCCTCTTTCTTTTCAGGCTCTTGTTTTGCTGTGTGTTTCCACATCGTGGTAATTACTCATGTGTACGGTTCCTTCCTTTCAGGGGATTCCAGAAGTGCCTCTGGTATGATGTGTGGGGGTCTGTCACCGCAGTGTGGTGATCGCAGCGGTTTAAAAGCACCCAAGGATGCTCACGGTGAGCAGGGTGGGAGAGAGAATCATCCTACCAGCCTCTCCCTTGTCAGCAGAGCCTGACTATTCTGACTTATCCTCAAAAACACAGCTGAGCTCTCTGCCTTGACGTATGACTCCTGTTTGGGGAGCTCAGAGACAGAGAAGCAGCTGCCAAAAAGCTAAGGGCCACCATGGATACTGTCCCTTTCTGTTCCATCTGGTGTGCCTCTGTCACCTGTCCTTCCTTACAGCAGCAGGCACCAACCTGTGTATTCAAAACGCAACCAAAATGCAAACTATATCCTTTTTCATGTCAAAACCCCTCTGCTGAGCACACGCTTCTGCCTTGAGGGAGAGGACAAGAGAATGAATCATATCTGACAGACGTCAGTCACATCACTTAATGCCTCACTGGAAGGCACTGGGACACTGCTGCCATGTGGGCAATATAAGAGATAGAACGGAATAAACCTGGAAGAGGAATTGAGGCAGGAAGATCAAACCTAGCCAAGCCAGAATGTCACCAGGACACTGGAGTGCAGAACCTCAACACTGCAAAATGGTCCTGGGGATATGTAGGAACTGTGGACATTTCCTCTGTTGCCTGACTGAAGTCAGGAAATGATTGAAGGCTTTCATTTAAATGAATGCACTTTGGAACAGTATTTGAAGAAACACTCAAAAGGACCAGAAGAAGACAAAGGACCCCTGCTACCCCAACTTTAAATCAGCGCCCATGCCAAAGTGTTGCTTCTTTCTGCTTCTGTCTCCCAAGATAAATTTCTGAGATTGGTGGTGATTTCGTGCTGCCCCTTCAGGGTCACTGGGAGAAACCCCTTAGTGCAGTCGAGGGACTTACCTGTTGGAGATTTTCTCAGAGCCCACATATAGGGTTCTCCTCATGAGTCCAGCCCGAGTGCCCAGAAATGCCATCTCAACATCTGCCTCAGTCTTCCTGTGGAACAGAAACACAGAAGCAGAAACAAACAGTTCTCAGAACAACAGAAGAACTCAGAAGAATCTTTCTGCCTAAGAGGTGAGGACCTTCCAAACTAGGAGCCACACCTGGAGACGTGGTCCCAAGTTAATTTGCAATATAACCCGTTTATACCAGGAATGACACTGGCTCCAGGTTATTACCTGCTAACAGTTGGCAGGCTTAGACCTCTGCCTAGATTCACACCTTGAAATTTTGTTAATTTATTTTATTTCCGAGTAGACCATAAGCTCCTCTCCTCCTGCTGGCCCTGCTCCAGGCTGCCCACATGAGGCTGAAGTGAGGAAGAGGGACTGCAGAGAGACAATGGTTGTCTCAAGCATGCAGGGAATGGGCAGGAGTAGCTGATTGACTCCAAAGCAGTAGACTAATTGAGGCACATCAAAGGCACTGATGGGACAGCTATGTGGTGGAGAGCCCATTGTAGTGTGGTGGTCTTAAAAGTGAGGAGTGTGTGTTGGTGTAGCCAGTTGAAGATGTGCTGATAATTGGGTGTCTTAGTGTGACTGCCACTGGTTCAACCTCTGTTAGTGGTAGGGATGCTTGTAACTGAAATAGGGACAGGAGTCCCATGGCCACACGCCTGTTGGCTGTTGAAAGAAGATACGTGTGATGTGATACCAGATACCACAAGCAACAGGTGCCTCACTCGAAATAATAAAGTAGAAAGTTGTTTAGTGAAGCCAGCCTGTCCACTGCCATCCTGAAGCTCCATCTGAAGCCATCACCAACAGAGACAGGATCAAACTCCCTTTTCTTCACTGCTGGAAAGGGAACAAATTCCTTGCCACCTAGGATGGAACTTCTGCTACAGTCATATCGGAAATGGAGCCAAACAATTCTGCTGCTGTTCAAAGGGATAAACGGTGCGTGGGGAAATAACTCATAACAACTTTAAATTGAAATGGTCTCAGGTGCCCTGAGAGATCAAACTCTTATCAACTAAAGAGGCAAATCAACTAAATCTGAGCTAGGTACTGCAAAGAACCAGTGCTGAACACCCCTTGCAGTGACATGTCTGGATCACTGCTGTCCTCCAGTGACATTCAGACAAACTCATCAAACTAAAGGCTCCTCTGACAAGGCCCAACCTGCTGGAGTCTACTCCTGAGACACACTTTTGGAGTTATTTCTAAAGCTATTGAGCTATTTCTATCAACTTTTTGAACTATTTCTAAAGTTTCTCATATGCTGTGCAAGGATCTGTCACTGTTTTGGGCACTGCATAAGCCCATAACATCTGGAGATGCATCTTCAATGGTGTTTTACAGATATTTATTTCTCATACACTTACATGGACATATTAAGGGCTAGTGTTGTCCAGTAGGCCTCCATGGGTGCAGTGACCACTGCATCAAACAGTACTTCCTGGACCAACTCTTCGTCACCTAAGAAGAAGGGAGAACAAGAATCAGGAAAGACATATCCCTCACTAGATGTCTTAGAGAGTTCCTTGGTATGGAGCATCTGCTTGGCCCAGGGCAGTGAACATGGCACAAAAATAGACCTTCCCTTGCGGGGTTGAGAACAAGATCTACCACCCTGGATGGCAGAGAGCAGAAGAACAGATGTTACAGCTAAGATTATCAGACTGGTTCCCCTGAAAACTCTGTGGAAGGGTTCAGGCTTGAAAGTGTGGGCAAGCAAGATGCTTTCAAATGAAGTTATTTGTCAGACCTTCTCCTCGATTGAACAGGCTGTCCACAATCATTGCCTCAAATCTCAGCTTTGACCTTTCTTCTAGGTGCCCTGTAGAAGGACACCAGACACCTTGTTCTACTCAAAAAGCTTCTTCAAAGCCTCTAGTGACTTCTTCATGGCTTCTACTTTGTCCTTGTGTTCATTGGCTTCTCTGTTACCCCTTTGTCCTTCCTGTAAATCTCACAAAACACTGTCCTGTCCTGGTTCCCCCTCTGGCTCAAGCCAGTCTAAGCCTTTCACTTTTAAGTATTTCCTATGCTGAGAGATTTTCAATAAGGCTGAGTTATGTGACAGCTTTAAAATGGAAAAAAAACCCCAGAACCTCTCTGATGGAGACAAGGAAGTGGATCCTCAGCTCATTTCCACATGTGAATTAAGCTGGGGTTGAGTTTAGTCCTGCCTGCGTGAGCAGGTGCCACAGGAGCTCAGTCTGACGCCAATCAGTTTGTCACAGTCCCCTCTGCCCCATGCTGGGTACAGGGAAACCCCAACAGGGCCCTTTCAGTGCCAGGTACTCACATTCCAGGTCAGGGTCTTCTCCTTTGAGGAAACGGATCACAGCCTGCAGCTGGCTGAGCTTCCGATGATCCGGATCAATGTCGGTGATGCAGTAAATCCTAGTGGAGAGGGGAGAAGAAGCCCACAAGGGCAAAAAGAAACCACAATCAAGCAAATGCTGCTGGGAAAAAACAATAACTGCAAACAAAAATTCAGCGAGAAAGCTTGGTCTGCAAAGATTTTTTTGCGGCTGCTGCATGCCGTGCCCACTCAAAATCTAACAATGTGGCTGTAAGTTAAACCCTAACAATAAACCCAACACCAATTAATCTAACTGCTGTGCTTAGTCAGGGCTGCTGTTGTGATCTCCAGCATAAGCTCACAATGCAACGTAGTTATCCAGCAGTTATCTGAATTCTGTGTTGTTTAAGATGTGTACCTATGTCTATATAAATGGTAACAACGTGATGGAGAGACCTGAAAAGCATAGGGTCATATGCAATGTATGTATGTAACTCCCCAACCAGACTGGGAGTAGAAAAAGCAAGAGACAGAGAAACAAAATGTGAAATAAGGAATGATCTTGCAGTATGATGTGGTGGCAACAAAAGCTGTCCCAAAGGGACAGAGCTGCAGGATCCCCAGGACACAGTTCGGGAAGGAGTGGGAGAATGTGTGACAAATGCTCCTGTATTCTAAAAGAAACCAACCAATCTTCTGATCCTGCTTCCAGTTTTGACCACCTCAATTTTAGGACGAGGGAGAGGAAGGGGTTATAAGAGAGAATTACAACTCATAAAGGGGCTGAAAGGAGTGATTGATGAGAGAAGTCTAAGAGAAATGAATATGTAAAGCGTGGTAAGCTGACACTCCAAGTGAGGAGCTGAAGAAGAAGAAGTCACTGTTTGTGTCTCAAATGTGCCGCCTGTGAAACTTGACAGTGTAAGGAGAGGTGTGAAGGGCTGCAGGGCTTCTTGCATAGAGTTATTTTGGCTTTGCTACAAGCTGGGTTCATGTGCCTGGGTGTAACTGAATGTTGGGTTCATGAAAATCCCAAACCTCACAGCAATAAATGGAAAGTGCTCTTACTTTTACCCTGTTTCATATCCAAACAAAGCAAAACCATAAATTATGCTGGCGATTGAAACAGGGGTCAAAAATCACCTCCATGTTCACTAGAAATTAGGTCTAGGCTCAGCTCAGAAGAATGCCAACCAAAAATAAGCTAGGATTTTTTAAAAAAAGCATTTCAATCTCTTGCTAAGTTTGCAACAAAATTTCCTGACAGGTCTGACATACTGGAGGTTTTGTAGCACAATTCTGAGCAACACGAGGAGGAACAAAATAAGTCTGAGCACGGAAGAATGAAGATAAACCTCAAGAGATGTTTCTTAGCAGAGGGATGTGCCAGGCTTTGGTGGGATCTCCCGCAGGAAGAGGTGGAACTGAATTGCCTGGGGACAAACAGGTCACTGCAGGTGCAGCCGCTGGACAACACTGCTTTTTCTCTAGGCAATAGAAGGTGGTGAACTCAAGCCAAATTACTGGGAAATTTGCCAAAAATCTCATGACAAAGTCCTGTGTCATTGACAGGATTTCCTCCACTTACCATTCATTTGCTAAAGACAGGTCTGGCTGGAGCAGGTCATGCAAACCTGAAACCAGATAATACAGAGAGTATTCAGTGGGGTGGCAGATGGGCAGGTACAGGCTGTGGAGCAGGGAAGTTCAGAGTCACTACTTTACTTTGTCCCTTAGGACAGCGTGGCTGTTTCAGATTAACCCACCTTCTTCCACCGAAGTGTTCCCCAGCAGAATGTACTCCCCGTGTCCCCTGGACAGCACAACACCCAGGCTGCAGGCAGGAGGGAAAGCAGAGGGCTTGTCAGCAAGGAGAGGTGTAATCCCTAAGCATGACACTGCCTTCCCTACGATTACAACCCTTAAAGACATTAACTCCCTCCACAGCTATTAAAGAAAGGAACATAATTAAAAGAGGATTAAGTGAGATCCGATTTCAGTGCAAAAGGCTGAGGAACCTTTTTCTAAAGCTACGAGGCATTTTTGGTGACAATTTTTTTTGGCCAACGTTGTAGGTTCAGGTCAACAATAACATTTCTCAGATCTATGCCAATTTCAAACCATTTTAGCTGGGGAAAAAACCCACAATTTTTGTTTGTGTTTTTTTTTTGCTTGGTTTCTTATGTGATGTTTTATAGTTGTCAGCTTGTAACAATGTTTTGTTTAGAGCCAGACACCAGAACATAAAAACCTGTTCAGTGGAACTGAAAATTGAAGATGTCTCATTTCTCTGGAATGAAATAACATGCTTCACCTAAGGTATAGCTTTTGGACTCTGAACTTCAGATAAACCATAATATTCCTTTTGAGTTCCCCCCAAACAATATTTTAATGGCTATAGGAACAAAGAAGTCAGTTATTTACGCTGTTCTACTCATGAGTCGTAGCCAGTTTTGTGGAGGGACCAATTTGGTGTCCCTGATGGCAGATTTCTGATACACCATATTGGTGTCATGCGAGTCCTCGCTCACCTGAAGGGTGTGTCACTGATGTCCGTAAAGAAATAATCATTGGTGAGGAAGAGAACTCGTTTCTGGAAGAAAAGCATGAATAGGAAAGTGAGAGACCATCTGACAGACCAAGAGCATGGTGATGATGGGGACCTGGGACATACATCCCCAGTGCTAAGCAAAAGCAGTTGGTCATCACCACCACTTCACACCCTGCTAGGGCTGGCTGGAGGCAGGGATGAATGTGCAGTATTCAGCATATTCAGCAACTTGTGACTTTCAGGATCCAGGCAGCCACTCCATCTTTCCATCTAGGGCTTCAGTTAAACCTTTCTTTGCTCTAGGGCTCCTGCGCCGGCTGCAGGAAGGGGTGGGGGGAAGCTGCCCTCCCTCTCACACCTTCTGAGCCAACGTGTTGGGGCCCTGATGCTCTTTTTGCTATATAGAGTAGGATTCATGGTTTTGCACATCATCATCATCATCATCTCAAGCAGGACAGGGGGCTCGGTAGGGCAGAGAAGAAGGAGAAGTGGGGTCGGAGGAGAGGCAGGATGGGGTGGGGGGCAGCCTGGACCAAGTCTCCCCACTCCTGTGGGAAATGCTGAGATTCCTGACATTTGCTTTCATGCCAAGGTGGGACAAAACGTGAACATATTCCGATTTGGTTAAAAAGCAGCAGTAAAATAAATAAATAAATAAAAATTTCATTTTCAAATTGAAAAAAAGAGAAAAGTGCTGATTCAAATCCAAGGTGTTTTGATTCACATGAAAACATTCCTTTCAGACTGACATTTCAAGTGAAGACATTTCAGATTATTGAAAGCTGCTTCAGAACTTCAGCTGTTTGCCAGACTGGCCTTTTCCTGTAGGAAAGTGTTGATTTCAGTGGAACACTTTTCCAAAAGAGAAAAGTTTTTGGAAAGTTTCTATCCAACCCTTATGCCAGTATATGAACCCTAATATGTTTAAAATCCCAGCCCTAGCCTGAAAACGAGGTGAGAGGATGTGTGTGGGAGACAGGGAGTGAACACAGCAAACTCAGTGTTCCCCAGGGAAGGTGGTGGCTGCTCCAACCTGCTCTGGCCGTGCAGCAATGGAAGTGGAGCGAGGCACGAAGGGGGAGCCCCAGCACCGGTTCTGCAATGTGGCCCCAGTTTGTGTGCACAGCAGACGTGCTCATGTGGATGGGAGTTATCATTAGGTGAGGAGGTGGCAGATGGCTCGACCCCTTCCCTCCCTTCTCTCTCCATTTGTGGCAATTGGGTACTGCTGAACAACAGGGTCCATGTCTCTGGTTGAGCTGAGATGTTCCAAAAGTGCTGTGATATCCCCAAGGAACATGGCATGATGGTGTTTTGGTGGCTGTGGGGAAAGTGCAAGAGCTGTTAAGCCTCCTTTTCCTTGCCAGTCTGGTCTGATGGCAGAGAGGGGGAGGCACAGGGAAGAACAAGACCCGGGGGTGAGGAGCAAATGGCCCAGGGGTGCCAACTACTCTGAGAACCTTTCCTTCAGCCTTGTTCTGCTTCTCTTTTGCTCCCCTGACCTACCCCTCTTCTGCACATTCAGCCACTCAGCACTGGTGCCTTGTGGGAGGGAGGGCAGCCCTGTCTTTGGGCAGGGGAGGGGATGGGAGGCCAGCCCTCCTCGAGACAGCTAGAGGTATCACCACTCACCCATGGGAAGGGAGAGAAGCAGAGGTGCCTTGGAACCAAGGGGCACTGAGGAATCACAGCATGGTGGGGGTTGGAAGGGACCTCTGGAGATCATCTAGTCCAACCCCCCTGCCAAAGCAGGTTCACCTAGCACAAGTTACACAGGACTGCATCCAAGCAGGTTTGGAACATCTCCAGAGAAGGAGACTCCACACCCTCCCTGGGCAGCCTGTCCCAGGGCTCTGGCACCTTCACAATAAAGAAGTTTTTTCTCATGTTTAAGTGGAACCTCCTGTGTTGAGGCTTACACCCATTGCCCCTTGTCCTATCGCTGGCCACCACTGAAGAGAGTCTGGCCCATCCTCTTGACACCTGCCCTTTAGATATTTATAAACCTTGATAAGGTCCCCTCTCAGTCTTCTCTTCTCCAGGCTAAACAGCCCCAGCTCCTTAATCATCTTTGTAGACTCCACTGGACAGTCTCTAGAAGATCCCTGTCCCCCTTGAACTGAGGAGCACAGAACTGGACACAATACTTGAGATGTGGCCTCACCAGGGCAGAGTAGAGGGGGAGGAGAACCTCCCTCAACCTGCTGGTCACACTCTTCTGAATGCCCCCCAGGAGACCATTGGCCTTCTTGGCCACAAGGGCCAATTGCTGGCTCAAAAGATCAGGCTGGACTTCAACACGTAGCAAGGGAGAAGGGCAGAACACGGGCACGTTGGCACAGTGATGGGATGGCTGACTACCAGCAGCTGTGGTCTGGGAACACATGTGTTCCTAGTTTTGGTGTTGTCACTGTACTAGGCCAGTCCTGGCTAATGCCATTATCAGTGGTTTGCCACATCTCCTTCCCACGTCCTTCCTCTTGTTTCCACAGTCACAACCCTTTTGTACCCCAGCTGCAAGCAAAGGCTTGTGCCACTAGATCTCTCTAACAACGTGCCTTGGCTTTGGTCCTTATTTTTCCCTCTCTATCTCAGCTCATTTTCAATACTTTCCTGAGATCAACCTGGGGAATCAACGTGGTTTACCTGACAGAATAATTTCCATCCCCTTCACTCAACCCTTCTCTGCGCGGTCTGTCTGCCTCGTTCTCTTTGTTCCAAGGCTCTGTCAGCACTTTCTTTGTTTGAATGCTGCTCTGCTTCATCAGCTAGCAGAGTACAAGTGGGAATTGCTAAGTTTCACTTCTGGTCTCCACTCCATGTGGATTCTGATAATAGTAAAACTGTCATATACTCCGTTTCAGTCCCCTATTGTGCTTCATAAAGCTTAGAGATTTGCAAAATAAACCAGGTAATATCTCTTACCGAGGCTACTTTTTGTTACCCTTTTTTTTTTTTTTCCCTGGGTAGGGGAGCAGAAAGATGTCCCCAAAATACTGAACTAAAAGGTATCTTTGGATGACTCAGAAGAAATATTATTGAGGGTGCACAGAGACAGAGAAAGAGGTTAAGCTAGCAAAATAAGCAATCTAGACCTAACAAAGAACAGATCTCGCTGGAAAACCCTGATTGCTTTTCTGACAGAATAACAAAGATAATGGATGAAGGGAATAAAGGACATGAAATGTATCTGGGTTTATATAAAGCACTTGGAACAGCTTCTCATGAAATCTTATTCTAAAGAATCAGTTAAAGCGGGCTTAAAGAAGATGTGAGAACCAGCTGCAGCACTGTAAACAAAAAGAAACAGTAAACAACAGGGCATCGAGGGAAAAAAACCTAATGAGAGGAACAGGCAGAGTCTGTCTTAGGAGCCCTTATGCACAGCGATGTGTAAGACAAAATAAAATAACATTTCTCTGCATACTGAGAAAAAAAATCCCAACGGCCCTAAAAATTAGAAAGACTGGACAAAAAGGAGGAGTGGAAAAATGGCAACTGGAAAAAATAGCAAAGAAACACAGAAACCAAGGCAGCTGTTCCAGTGCAGCTGTGGAAGGGAGAAAAAATATTGAAGGGACAGTAGAAAGGAGGTTTAGGGCTCCTCCTCTCAATAGGATAGAAATATCCTATTGCAGAAAATAGATGCTCTCTACAGAGCAACAGTACTCAAATAATTCAGTGAAGCCCTGGTACTTGTGTACCAGAAATGATACAAGTGACAAAGGGAACAAAACTAATTGTTTATTATTCAAAGATGAACTGCTTGGACTGAAAAGGATGCAAGTATTTCAAACAGGAGGAAGGAGGAGAGGAAGGGCACAGCCATTTACAGGTACCTGATAGTTGCAAGCACCAAGAATAAAGAGAATTTAGTTACAAGGTGGAGCAGTACAAGCATTCAGAGGAAATGGAGGGGTGTCTTCATTAGGAAATGGCACCATATTGGCAGTGACTGCCAGCAGTTGGTTTATGGGAATTGGTGCTGACTGGTTTAGCATGGGAGCAGTTCAGCTGGCCCGATTGCTCAAAAAAACCCCGCTCCCTATGGAAAATTTTCCTGAAATAGGGAAGACTTCTGGGTTGTATAGCTTGCATGACTCTGGAATACTTTCTAACAGGAAATGATGAACGCCAAAATCTTTAGGAGAGTTAAATAAACCTGAATGAAAAAGTACCAGTGAATGTAAATGTACAAGATAATTTTGCACTGATTCCAAAGAAAAATGGCTAACCCTTAGGGAAGGTTCAAAATCTCCATTTCACTAGGACTTATCATAAAATGTCTGTAAATATTTGCATAGAAATTTAATCCTGGACCTGGATAAAGGAAATCACATTGTGACAGAGTGAGGGACGAAGTTTTCATGAGTGTTTTTGTGTAGAGAAAGGCAAAATAGTCTCCAAATCTTTCTTTCTAGGTCAGCTCAGCATTGTCTTCCCCATTCTAAACTCTTGAAGATCTCCGATTCATTTCACAGCCCTATAAACAATGAACAACATGCTTTTTGGCTTTGCCTGGACAAAGTAGGGAGCTGTGAGGCATTTCCAATACCTTTGTAAGAGCAGAATGTCCGTAGGTATAAAAAGCACTTCTAACGATGTTCTATTTTATGTCTTTAGCACGTGTTACATAAACGGTGAGACAATAAAATCCTCACAATCAGAAATGCTGAACATTAAAACCACATCCTACGTGGTTCTTCAGCATCTGTTTCCCATCACCTCCCTCATGTCACCTGAACAGAAGGCTAATTTCTTACCCCTTTATCCACAGGGACCTTCACATCCATGGAGAGGTAGCCTGTTTCCCCATTGATCATGGCAGTTCTCAGCTGCAGAGGTGAACAAGATGAGTATTAGTGTCTCCAGGCAGGGCAGGACAGGAATTGACTGGCAGAAAAGAGTGACTGTAGGTTCTCCTCCCACCTTCCCAGCTCTTTCTTGCTTCTATAAACTGAAAACCTGTCTCAGTGGTCAGGATCCTTGTTCAGTCAGGCTGATAAGTGACACAGAATAATAATGGCTTATGCTAAAAGCTTGTTGATGTGTCTTTTTAGCAAAAAAGAAAGGATCTGGAAGGGATGAAATTGCCAGTCCAAGTTTCAGACTTCACTGTTTGGCAGCCAGAAAGTCATTAGTGCTTTGAGAGCCTGGGAGAGGAGACACTGGAGAAATCCACTAGCTCCCCTAGATTGATTCCAAAACTCTTCAACATTTTTTTAAACTGAGTTATAAATTATAGGCTGCATTCAGCACCACTTCTGAGGTGCAGTAAAGCAGCTGTTTAACACAGCAAAGCAAGATGGTATGATAACAGGGTAGGTGGTGAGAAGACCACTTTATTCATTCCAGGTTCCAAAGGCAAAATGTAATTTTCACAGTGACTCCTGGCCTCTTGCAAGAAAGAGCCAGGGAATTTTTCCACAAGCGCAGAGGCTTTCACTTTAGGTCCAGCCTACCAGAGAGTATCAGCCTATTGCTTAAGCCTGGATAGAGAAAAACAAAAACTATAAATAAAAAAAAATTAAAAAATTTAAAGAAAGGGTGGGAAGTAACTTATACATTCCCACAAACTGGTTCCTTACTTCCAGAGCCAGGCCTCCATTCAGGCGCTGGCCAGACTCCACTTTGCTTTACAAGGCCACAGTTTTATTTATCATGGTTGTTTGATGTGGGTTATTTACTGACCTAGAATGTAAAGCCTGTGTTTCTCAAGGCCCAGGTCTTGGAAATCAAAACACTGACTGGTATTATTACTCCTTTTTGGCTAAGAGTATTTGACCTCCTGCCAGAGCCAAGGCATACTCCCTGCTCTGGGCTGACAACCTGCAGCATTTGCTGTGGCTTCTGGGTTTAGTTCAGATATTGTTGTTTCATCCATATCTTCTTGAATGTCAAGCATCTTTCATTGCCCTGTAAGGCAGTGGAGAAGTCAATCAGTGGGTATCTGAGATCTCCTTGGATTTCCTTGGATCTCCCCAGCTCCAGGTTGGTGCCACAGTCCAGGCTTGATGCTTCTTTCTCAACATCTTCTCCAACATTGAGAAGTCAATTCCAGTTCTGGTGTGTGGTGGGCCTCATAATGCTCAGTCCTTTTTAAGCAGGACACATCTGGCAACACTTTGAAAAATGTGCAGCAGAGTTGGGATGGAGGGGTTCTCCAGTGCATGCTGAAACACTCCTTCCTGACATTCCAACAGCAAACTCTCCTGCTCCAGGACGAAGAGGCTGTGCCATCCCCATCCCTGGTAAGGAGTGCTGCTGATTCCTCTTCCCTGCCTGCTTGCGTGGTTTCAAACCAACACAGACATGCCATTTACCTGAAGGGTCTCACAACATAGAGGGTGTTTTGCCCCTCAGTTTCAGCACCTTTGCAGACTAATTTCTTCTTCAGTTTTATCAAGGCCGAAGGAAATCAGTTTGGGTGACAGCTCCTAGACCTCTTGACCTTTCCCTTTTCTCCTCACACTGAGAATATTCCAGTGGTGCTTTCCAAGCAAGCCCAGATTTCCTTGCTGCCTAGCTGCAGGAGTACAGTAGTGCATCAGTTGGTATTTCCCAGGCAGTGCCATCTTCCCTCCCCTGGATTTCTTTTTAGCAGCTGGCTGTATTACACATCATTAACACTTGGGAGTATTTTTTTTTCCAGTCTGAATTTGCTGCTTACGAGTGTTGCTGAGATTATACTGCAACTGATGTTGAGTCTGTCATTGATCTAATACCAGAGCTGCAAAGCTGAGTGTTGAAATGTTGGCAGCTTTCTGCTGCAGTGGGTGTATCTTCGGAGTCTCTAGACCTGCTGAAGTCACACTGCAGATATCATTCACGTCACTAAATGTCTCTGTACCCTCAGTGACTGCAACCTTTCTTTCTTCTGGAGGATGCAGTACAGGAACATGAAGCGGCTTTGTTTTTCATGCCTTTTCTGACATATTTTTCCCTGGCTAGTTTTCGTCTGCCTACAGCCAGAAACCTTATACTTTGCATCATATTTGCATTCAGGTATCAATGTTATTTGGTCAGACAGGAACCTGCTAGCAAAATAAATATGTCAGCAATGCAAAGTCCTCTTGGTTCCTGGATTTTATTTTTTTTTTTTTGTTGGTAAAATATCAAATTGAGTAAAGAGGAGCAGCTCTAAAAGTGGCCCCAGTGAGAGAAAAAAACTACAGTGGGGGCAGAGTTCCTAGAAGACATCAGTTAATCCACACAAAGCCATTGCCAACCTGCATCTTGGTGTTTTCACTGCATGTAAAGCCTTTTATTTTTGTCTTGCTTCACATGTTTCACACCCAGTTCCGTTGTGTTTCCTTTCTCAGTTTGCCACTCTTCCACTTCCCAAGTTCCTTTGGTGTGGCACTTTGTACTCAGCCCATACTAGTGACAGCAGCTACTTTGATCCTCTTGCTGGACAGTTTGTCCTGCCTGTTTAAGTGGATATCTATAGCATCAGATCCGTTTATCTCAGCAGTCTCCTCTGTAATCCAGAAGCATGTGTCCCACAGCTAATTCTGTCTTACTCCAAAATCAGTTCCTATCTTAGTAACTTAAGTATCTATTCTCTCCTAATTCTTCCGAGGAAAAGAAAACCAGTCGTAGAGAAACCTCTCTACCTTCTCATTATATCTGGGTTCCTAGTTGTACAATGTGCAGCTGCTGAGTTACATGTTGTGTCTTGTTGATCTATTTTTAATAATCTTGCTTGAAAAAGAGTAGAAAAGGTATTTTCTTATCTTTTTCCTCTGATCAGCTCTTGTTTTCAGTGTCTCCCCACTTATGCAGTAAGGTGGTTTCTGGAAACTTGTTTTTCTTTGCCCAGGTGGCCAAGAAAGCCAAGGGCATCCTGGCCTGGATCAGCAATAGTGTGGGCAGCAGGACCAGGGAAGTTCTCTTCCCCCTGTGCTGGGCACTGCTGAGGCTGCAGCTCGAGTGCTGGGTTCAGTGTTGGGCCCCTGACTCCAAGAAGGACATGGAGGTGCTGGAGCGTGTCCAGAGAAGGGAACGGAGCTGGGGAAGGGTCTGGAGCACAAGTGTGCTGAGTTCCCTTGTGGCTGAGGGAACTGGGGGTGTTGAGCCTGGAGAAAAGGAGGCTGAGGGGAGACCTTGTGGCTCTGTGCAAGTCCCTTGGAGGAGGGTGGAGAGAGGTGGGGGTGGGTCTGTTCAACCAAGGCCCAAGGGACAGGCCAAGAGGAAATGGGCTCCAGTTGTGGCCAGGGCAGTTGAGATGGGATGTGAGGAAGGATTTCTTTGCTGCAAGGGTTCTGAGGCATTGGAAGGGGTTGCCCAGGGCAGTGGTGGAGTCCCCATCCCTGGAGGGATTGAAGAGTGGTGTAGACACAGTGCTGAGGGACATGGGTTAGTTGGGGACTTGTCAGTGTTGGGTTCATGGTTGGAATGAATGATCTTCAAGGTCTTTTCCAATAGACGCAATGCTGTGACTCTGTGTGATTCTCAAGTGTCTAAGTCCCTTATCCTCTTTGTCGATTATTAATAGCGACTGCAAGCTTTAGTCTCTTTTTGAATGCACTTTCTTCCTTGTTACAGATCTCATTAGGTGAGTAGCTTGAGCTATATCTCACATATTACACCATGGGACACTGCCATACTCCTAAGCTATCTTGGTTTTGTATTAAGGCAGCATTTGGCCATGTACACGCAGACTGGTTCCCTGGAGCACCCTCCAAAGTGTATCCTTCCTCCTGCCAGTGCTTTCCCTCCCTGTTTAATGGGAAGGAAAACCCACACTGTGAAACAAGACAAGCCCTTTGTAGGGCAGCATCATCCTTGTTCTCTTCTAGACCACCAGCCCAGTTTAGTCAGGCACAGAAAAAACAGGAGTGCCTCCTGCTCCCCTGTCACTTCCATAAAGCCACACAAAGTAATAGAATGAGCTACCAAAAAAAAAGGCAAAATTAACTTTGTTATACTCACTATTTCATCCTGGTCTTCCCATTCCACTTCCGAGAGATCTACGCTGTTGTAGTTTGGCTTAGGCTTCAGTTTCTTTCCTTCTTTATACTGGTGTTTATTTAAAAAAAATAAAAGAAAAAGAAAAATATCTAAGTGGCTAAATAACTTCCTAAACCAACCCTTTAAGAACTGAAATGTTATTTGAAAAATAAGGGTGACTTGTTTATTCTCTGAGTAAGAAGGCAGCATTTGGGTACAAGTGCCTTCTTGGATCCGTGCCATGTATTTCTTTATGCAGGCAGTGTGGGGCTAGGACAGTTCAAGTGGGAGAGGCTGTTCCAGGAGCAATGGACAAGCAGGAACACAGATAAACTGGCAGGTAAAGGTTATAGCCTCCTTTGTGAGAATATTCTTCTAAATAGATCAGTACAATACTCTTGCCTCCAGGAAATCAGTTTTTCCCTGCAGCCAAGAGTGTAATCCCATTAACAGTATAATACCAGCAGGATAACTTTTCTGCTGGATGTTAGGCTGTGGTTCCACTGACAGAAAGGTAGGCTTTTCACCTATGGCTAACTGATACAAGAGACCTACTTCCCCAGAGATATGTGGTCTGGAGCTCCAGGTGGCACCACGAGGGAGGAACATTGTCCTTGCACCCATTCCCTCAAGACCCAGAAGGTCTTTGCAGCCCACTGGTCTCTAAACTGTCTCTGATTTACCAGATTACTAAGATTTGTTGTAGTGGACCCTGCTAGCCTCAAATTCCCCAAATGTCCAACACTACAGCTGCTGGGTAGCTATTACTGGGGTGCTACTCATGCTCTAGTAAAGATGTCCCTGCTGACTGCAGGGGGGTTGGACTAGATGACCTTTGAAGGTCCCTTCCAACCCAATACATTCTATGGTTCTATTAATCTTCTCGTAGGAGACATGCCCAAGCAAGGGGAATTATTTCTTCAGCCCAGCAGTGAAACCTTGCATGGATGCAGATACAACCCACAAATACATGCACGCTTACGGAGAACAGATTGGCAGGGTACCTTACACTTCATACACATGTGTGTGCATATATATCTATATCTATATATATAGATAGATATCTATGCAAGTGGGATTGATTTCTCTGGCCTTCGTGCTCCTGGGTGCCTATATGTCAGAGCCTGATAGCCTTCACAGTTGAATAAAATATGAGAAATCAGCAACATCCCTGAAAGCCAGTGTTTCCAAGTAAGCAGAGGTTCTCAAATTCCCAGCTATACATACCAAAGGACGGAGGTCTGGGTGTGAAAGGATGTAGCCGTTGTTGGTGTTCAGAAAAGCATATCCATGGACACCCAGCTGGAGAAAGAGGCATTGGAATGGTTAGTGCTTTACCTAGAAACACTGCTGTGTAATGGGTACCAGTGATACCCTGGCACCACCAATATTGAGAAATATTTTCATTTTAGAAGTATTGATCAGCAGAAAATCGGGTCTGTCCCAAACCCCTTTATCTCCAGATCTCTGGCTGCTCTGTCTGAGCAGGCTGACTAGGCTTGGATGCACAAAAGGATGGGCAAGTAGTTGATTTGTGTACACAGTCAGAAAAAGATGCACTCCTAGAGTCTGATTGTCCTCATGGACAATTACCACCCGGAGGCAGAATAAACTCTCCACAGCAAGCACAGCAGCGCTGCACAGAAAACGAGCGGCGATGGCAAATGTCATAAACAGCACGGAAACAGCGGTGACAGGTCTGGATGACCATCCCTGCACATGCACAGCAGCAAATGATCAAGTGAATATGAATCTCAGAGATGGCTTCCCTGGAAACCCAGCCGGTCTTCAAAGGAGCTCTGCATTATGTTTCAGTGTTGGCAAGACCTAGCCTAGGCCAATTGTACAAGCCCATGGTCTTAAAATGCTTTTTAAGGAATAGCATAATCTATTAAGAACAGACACAGACCAACTCGATCTGCAAGAGATTTCTGAGAGAGCAATTACTCAGCTCAAGGCCACATCTAATACAAATTCCAGCTAAACCCCGAGTTGCTAAAAACCCACTCATAGCCTGTGCTTGCCAACACAAGAGGTGTCTCAAGGAAAACAAGAATGGTTAAGGTTTCTATCTTCAAAAAAATATTGCAACTTTATATTCCTATAGAGACAGTCCTGGAAGGATAACAATAGGGAAGTGGGGAGGTGAGTAATTTACAATTTGTCTGTGCTTTTTTGGAAAGAATGAATTCTGTGTTTCATACATCCAGATCAAAACTTTGGACTCTTTCTATGTGAAACAGATTTTTTTTTACAAAGCACACTGAGCTCAGCTCAGAGTGGCAAGAATAAATCCAAGACATTGGATCAGGACTACAGAAAACTTCCTTATTGGCATATTAAAACTGAAATTTCCCAGCCCAGTAAGTGAGATCATAAATGTGTGAGCTCTCAAGGGCTGTAGCTCAAGAACTGGTCCTTTGTAACCCATATGTCAGGGGATTCGAGTTGAGGATCCTCAGTTTCCAAACTGGTCTGGAGTTGGAAGAGCTTCTGGGAAGTCATGTCCTGCCTGTGGTATAAAGAAATCCTTGAAATAATTTTCCCTCCTTCCCTGGCACTGCTTGGAGGAAGGACCAGTGTCTCTCCTTGGCCCAGAAGAAATATTTTTGTGACACGTGGCCTTTGAGTGACATGGAAGGAGGGAGGAAGATGAAAAGGTGCTACCCTCATAGAGAAAATTAATTTATATAAAAATTGAAGCTCCTAGACAAGGTCCCCCCCAGACCCAAGCCAGTTAGCTTTTGCATGCTGAGTGCATATACCCCAACACTCCTAGTTCCTGGGTTGCCTGAAGGATCATTTCCTACAGCTGCCTGTGAATGAGCTGCCCTGTATCCATCTCTGGAAGTGCCACACAATTCCATACCTTCTGCCAGCACTTGCAGTCCTGTGAGCCTTCAGCAATCAGATTTTGGACAACTACCTAACTTGGTGGTAATTGTCTGATAGTTTTTGATGAGAAACTGAAAACTTGAACTGATGGCTCAAGTTGCCTGATTTTGTGGTGATTCTCAGATGTGCTTGCTGTCTCCTGGTGTGCAGATTGGTTGAACAAAAGGTCACTGCACAGATTTTACACCAGAAACTAATCAGTGCATCTCTGGCTTGTTTTCCTATGAATCAATATATATATATTTTAGATATATTAAACACAGAGCTAATGGGAAGTTGTTGGGCTAACAATTCTGGAGAGAAAATACTTTATCTAGGTACTGCACAAACGAGAGCCAACTTCCTGTACACTGTCCTGCCAAGAAATCTTCATGCTGATCTGGAGAAAGGAATGTCTAGGCATGAAAAAAAAGTTGGCTCTCCATAGTCCATTGAGTCCTCAGTTTTTCTGCTAAGAATATTGACAGTGAAACTAGTTTAATTCTTTTGCCAGCTGGCATGGTAGCTTTTGTCCACTGGGAGCTGGATGTAAAACTTTAATTCTTCTGAGACAGGCTGTCAGATCTGTATAATCTCTGAGGAATCTAGGTTGGTGACCTTCAAGATGCAAAGGCTCCATGACCTGTTGGCAATCTACTGGATCATGCAGTCCTTGTGTTTCTGAAGCAGCCTAAGAGCTTCTAGTAGTGAATGATTTCCCATGTATTATATGGAAACCACACATCACCACATCCAACATCTCTTGCTTTATGCTCATAGTTCTTCCTACAAGCAGAGGAATGATTTTTTCAGTCATGCCCATGGAAGAATGACTAGTGACTTTGAATCATCTCAGTCTTACCTTATACCGTGGAGCAAGTTTCAACAACTCCCTCAGTGGTACGTCAGAGCCCACCACACCCAGGAGAATGCCATGAGATCGCTTAAAAACAAAGGAAAATCCATTTTCAGAAGCAAAACATGGGTAGTCTTCTAACTGAATACACAATATTGCTTTCCTACTAGTCTCTCACGTATCCTCTCTAGGCTTGTGTGAATATGTTTATTCAAAACTAATTATCATACCTCAAAAAGTCTAAAGGGGTTGATCCAGTGTTTATGGAGAAGAGTATTTCTACCCAATACTGGACAGTATTTTTGATTAAGATTCGGAAGTAACATAAAATAACTGAAACCAAGTTTTGAGGGTAAAAACCCTGCAGTCATTATGGGTAAATAACAGTAAGGGTAAGGCACTCGTGCAAAACAACATGGAGCAGTTGATACCTTGGGCCAACTAAACCAAACACCAAATACCAAATCATTAACCTAAGGAAAAGGAATGCAGGAAATCCCCATGAAATAGGGAACTGGTGGTTTAATGAACAGCTGGGGAGTGTGATGGAAAAGTGACACACAGGCTCCCACCACAGTGCTGTGCTACCACAGGTTAAGGCCAGCCTCAGGTGGAGGAGGCAGACAATTGTTCATAGGACCTGGATGAAGGGTTTATGTCTTGTACAGCAATGGTGAGGTACCGTCTGCCATTTAAAAAGGATACTGAGAAACTAGAAATTATATGGAAAAAAATTTCTAAAGGATCTCAAAACCCAGAGGAAATGCCCTTATCAAAGACACCTAAATGGTTCAACCTTTTTCTCTTATCAAAAGATAGACAGGTTTGACTTTATAGCAGTGTAGATGTTTCCCCAGGAGAAGATACCAAAGAGTACAGGCTTTGTAATCTAGCAGCAAAGGCCATTAGGACAGGAAGGTGAGGCCAGGCAAACTGGAAGCGGAATTTAGACACCAGTCTTTAACAGAGAGTGAGAAACCACAATGGAGAGCTCAGGGCTGGATGACTTTCTTCAATGCCACTTTTGCCAAACACAGGTTATTGGGCTCATGAAGGACACACTCTATATGAAATGTAAAGGTCTGCAATAAAATGTGGAGACTAGACAAGGTAATGATCTCTTCCAACCTGAAACTTTATGGGTCTGGGAATAAGGCTGGGTTTGAAAACAGAAGGGATAAAACAGAGAGAAGTGTCATATTTAAGGGGTATTTTGAAGAAATGGCATTCAGAGGAAATGACAGACTATCATTTTAACAGACAAATTATCAACTGCATGTCCTGCCAGAGGTCTACCGCAGTCCTTAATGACCGGCCTCTCCTTTCAGAGACCCGTTGGCTTTAAAACCTCACAAAGATCCGCTGCATCCTTTCAATTCTGCTGGCTGGAAGGAGGGCGAAGCCTGCGTCACACTCACCGTCTCGTTCTTTTTGCTGAAGACTGGCATAGCCACTGTTGTCATGAGCAACAGACTTTGAGCCTGAGATGCGAAGAGCTGCCACAGAACAACAAGCTGTGTGTTAGCAAATGTCATATGGCAAATAACCCAAAAGAAAGGCACTGGAATTCCCAAGGACCCCAGATGTTGATTATAATTAACCACCTCCTTGCTTCCCACACCCCTCTAAAAAGGGATGGCAGCACTTTTCAATACTCTCTATCCAAGAGGATTATGGAATGGATGCTTGCTTGTGTAGGGTGATGAGGATGGGATGAAAGCCAGTGTTGAAGCAGGAGGAATCACAGAACTGTTTTAATGAAGAGATAAGAACCTATAGAAGTAGTGCCACAATTTATACCCACCACACACTGGGAGTGTACGCATGAGCACTTATGCAACAAGTGTAAAAACCACCAACACAAGGAGCACAGAGTAGAGAAAAGCAACACAAATATGAGCAAAAATCACAAACAAGATATCTGCACTGCAAACACACGAACGCCACGCATGAGAAACACCACAGGCAAATATTTAAAAGGCACAAACACACACAGAGCTTGCTTATATATACTTGTTACTCAAACATCTAAGCTTAGGAAAAACAGGGACAAAATCACGATCCGAACAGATACAACATGGTGAGCTATCTCTACAGGGGATACAGGACATGAACGTGCAATGGGTTAACACATGCTCCCAGTTCTGCACAAGACAGGTGCTCTGAAAACACACACAAAAGGAGGTCAAACAGCCAAGACACATGCAAAGGAGTCTCCTAAACATGCCTAGCTATCAAAAGAACCTCATCCCTTGATATCAGTATGTCCCTATTCAATATCTCATTTGGTCAAGTAAGTAGCAGGGCAAGAAATGATCTCCTGTCTCCATTACTACACATACTGGGAACCGTAAAGGAGCCAGTCAATAAGACAGTGACTTGACGGAGATTTGAGCCTGGTATCTCGAGTTACAGGTCTGGATGATTCTTTGTGGAAACCTCCCATTCACAGCAACACTCTCACAAACACACAGCAAATAAACTTCTCCAGCACTTACTGGACACATGGAAAAAAAGATCCAGTGAACTAAGCTACTGCACAACACAGACACCCCTACCTACTCTGAACCAACACCACAGCCCAGCTCTCCAGTACATCCAGCATTTCCTCTCCTCTTCTCGCCAGTTTAAGCGGTTCCTTCAGCACTGCAGCCCCCACCCCCCTCCAGATGTACAGGCGAGCTGTGGCTGTGAGCACCAACACACCGAGTGGCACAAGGGAAACTGCACGCTCACAAAACACAGGGCTGTGGTTACCTCCGCAGACTGTGGCAGCTAGTGAGAGACACGGATGGACAGATGAATGAACACATGAATGGAGGAATGAATCACAGATGGGAAAGCTTGGGGTGGAGGAAGAGAATGGCAAGCCAGGCCAAGAGGCAAAAAAAGGTGCAGCAAGCAAATCCCCGTGGCTGCCTTGGGAAGTGTGACACCGTACACCAGTGCCAGGGGTGACACGCCTGCTAATAAAATCAACTTTCTGGGTAGTTAGTAGAATTTCTGGGGATCGTTAGTAGCATTTCTGGAAGTTTTGCTTAGCACACTCAAACACCATGTCCCCAGCTCTCACTTGACACATCTCCTGCAGCAGAAGACATCCTCACCCAGAGCTACTGTCACCCTAGTGCCATCTGTCACCCTCACAGAGCTAGTGTGCCATGGCTGCAGCCTCAGTGGTCAGCCACAGTACAGAGGTGGGGGACAGTCCCTTCCCACAGGAGTCTCCTGAGTATAACATCTATGCATCATGATGGTGCAAGCCTGGACGCCTTGGATGTATTTCTTTGGTGGTCTTAACTCTGAGCACAGCATCAGGCACTTCCAGGCGTGACCTGGACTTCCACGTTTCCTCCTACAAAGCTAAGCTCAGTACCTCTAGTTTTACTCCAACTCAGAGAGTTCAGGTTTATCACTGTGAATCTAAAACCTGAAAACTCTGAGTTCTCCCCAGAGCTGTGACAGACACTCTAAAGCTGCTGCTGGCCAGACTGGAGCCAATAACTTCAGTGCCACAGTGGGACTGCACAGAAATATTCTCAATGTTTCTAGAAGATTTTTCCCCTCAGATAACTTATACAGCCTTGAGACCTGAGATTAGTTTCTGGAAAGGGGAAATCTGACTTCTGGTCAGCTCTAGCTGTCACAGTTATGCAGATACTTCTCTGGGGTGTAAAGTTCAGTGTAGGAAAAAAAACCCTATATCTCCCTGAAAGCACAGAGAGCCCCGAAAGAAGAACTGCAATGTTATCTTTCTGCAGTGTAAAAAGGGATGAAGACTGAGGAACATCATCTATCTGGGGAAGTGCAGGGGAAGGCTCCTTCAGTGGTGGTCTACTCCTTTGTCCTTCCCTTCACTCCGTTGAGTTTCAAAGCTGCCTTGGCAACACAACACCATAACAGCACTTGCTCAAGGTCCAAAGGTCTTAGGTCTTCCCGCAGGGCAGGTCTGAGACAAAGCAAGGGGCGTTGGGGGTGCTGTCTGTCTGGTCCTTTGCCATGTGTCCTTTACCCACAGGACTGAGCACAGGGCCGCTGTGGTGACGTTAGGTCTTGCTAGCTCAAGGAACGAAAGAGTGAGCCTGCTTCCCAAACTGAGATCTGTATCTCTGAGTGGGAAACAGGGTGCAGTTATCTGCTGGGCTGGAGGAAAGAAATCTCTGTGACCCTTATCCTGAGCTGTAAATAATCTTTCCTGTGAATAATCCTTTAGAAGGTAACCTGCTTTCACAGAAGCACTGCTTAAGTTGTGCTGTGCCTGTGTGATTACTCCTGGGCTCCTGCTTCACTGCAGATTTGGATCTAAGTCTGAATCTTAACTCCAGGAGTGAGCAGAACAGAAATATTGTCTGTCGCAGCAGAACCAGAGAACCAGTAATTTCTATTAATCAACAAACTCCTGGTTTTATGTACATTTCAGGAATTTATTTATATTCTGGGAAGCTGGGACAAGTTATATGTCTAACATACTAGCTGGATGTCTAACGTCTTTGCCAGTTTGGCCCATAGGTCCTACTGTTTGCTGGCTAAAGACTTGTGCTGTAGGTCCTTACCGCGCTGTCCATGTAGGCTTCGGTCCAAATAATGTCATGGTCGTGGTTGATGACCATGGGACGGCTGAGCACGTGCAGGTACTCCATCACATTCTCCTGGACATCTGCCAGCGTGGAGATGTGAGTGTAGTAGCCTTCATGGAGAAACAGAGATGTGAGTCACTCTGCTAACGCATCTTCCATATTTTTAAATGAATGTCCGTACAAAGCTAGAAAACTAGATGTCAAATACTGTATCTACTCAGTTTATCTGCTCTTCACAAGCTTCTGTGAACACATGTTTCTGTGGAAATCTAGAGTTTCAAAGCACTGGCTCTGTTCTTCTCAAAATACTGGACCAATGCTCAAGACCAGAGTCTTGATATAACCAGAATCGTGCCAAGCAGATGTAAAAATCTTGCTTTGGGTCTTAGGCAAAACCATCCACTAATCAGGCTGCCTTTGGTCCTGAACACCCAATATATGCAAACATATATTCCACCAGGCTGCCCACTTACCCTGACCAATTTTATATTAGGCACAAACTCCCAACTTCCAGATTTTTTTTTAGCACTCTACTCTTCAGTCTGCCTAGCTTTACATCCAAGGATGGTGACCACTTCCATCTACCCATGGGAAGCAGAATGTGGAAGTGCGAGTTACCTATTTCCAGAGCTTTGCCCCTGCATACGAACCCATAACAACCTAACACAACAAGTACAGGGGAAGAATGTTTGCAACTTAGCAAAAGGTCCTCAAAACTAGCTGCTTATAAATGTTAACAGAGTGCAGTGGCACGAGGACTCTTGTCCTGCTTCTCACCACATGGAACTGATTGGTTGTACTTAGTATAGGACAGAGTATGTCAGATAGATGGAAAACTTTTATCGCTAAGAAAACACCGCCATGTGAAAGGGCTCGTGATCTGATAAGTTTTGTGATGTGGAAACAGATTTAGCGTGCTGGAAAACAAGAACTACAAGACCTATACAACGTGTTGAGACCAAAGAAGAAGAAGAATCAAAATCTGTGAGCCTTCTGCAGAGCTCAAGTCTGGTAAGTGAGAATTCAAGTGCAAAGAGCGTATTTTTGTTCTGTTTGGTTATTCAGGAGAATCCATTCTCCCATTTTGTTGTGAACCAACAGCACTGTGAATTCCCTGTCACTAATCTTATTGTTGAACACGCAACCTGAAATCCAGGTTTTTGTTTCATTTAACAAAACCTAAAAATGTTACGTGTGGGTCTTGCTTTGGGTCTTGGATTCATAGTGCTAATAAATGAACATTTGAGCCTTGAACATCCCCAGCTCACAGACATTCTGCAGGCCAGCAACTCTTGTCTGTCAATGATTTGCAGTAGCAAATGCATCCGTACATTTCATAGTCTGCTGGAGCCACGGCTCAGACAAGGAAAGAGTTGATATACCCAGGCAGTCAGCCCCCAGCTTCAGTCTTCTCTTCCTTTCCCTGTTTAACAGGATATTGACATGGCAAGCATTGCTAATTATCTCCAGTTTGAGTTCAGACTGAGGCCAAGTCATGCCCAAACAGGGAAGACTTTTTTTTTTTCCCTTTCCCCTTACTTCCTTCACCCTTGCAGACTCTGATAGGACTAACTGGACTTTTTAACTGGGCCCAAATCCACAGAGGTGACTCATCTACTCTGAATGGATTTTCCCATTCATACCATTTCATGCCAGCTAGAGAGAATATTGGTTTTTGAGGTGGGATTAACAAGCTATTCTGGTACCTCAGTGAAACCACTGGCACACAAGGAATTTGGCCAGGATATAGGGGTTAACCTGCAGACCTTGGGAAAAAAAATAAAAGCTTTAAAATCTTTAAAGAAGAGATGTTGGTTTTACATCTCAGCCAAAAGATGCCAGGCTTTCTGACAGAGTTTTAGACAGATTATCAAAAGCCAGCAACTGGGACACAGTAAGAACAGGGACTTAGGTAGACTACAGCCAGCATGAATCTCAGTCATAGTGTCCCTTGGCACCGTGACAGGAAAATGTGGTGGCTCAGCATGGAGGACTTGTGTTAGTTGGACACAAGCACCCTTCATGTGAACTAGCAGGGTCTGCTTTTTCCTTAAGTTGTCTTCCAACCAAGGAGTCCTGGGCCCTAACTGTAGTGGGGAAGCCTTAGAGGGGTCCAGGGCCCCACGGTTGAGGTCCATGTGTGACAGGGGTTGGGGAACCATTCCCATACAGCACCTTTGTTGTTGCAGGCGATCCATTTCACGTTGGAAGCAAAAGTGACTTCCCGTCCAATAAGGTAAGTGAAAACCCGGACCTGGGAAGAAGAAAGAAAGAAAAAAAAAGAAAAAAAAAAAAGAAGAATTAGGCTTTAATATGCTACCAAAACAAAATGGCTGAGGTTTGGCATCTGCTACACGCTGGTGTGAATGCCTGTTTGTGGCACAGAGCTATAGCTCTGCTTTCACACAGAGACAGGAACCTCTTGCTCCATTTTTGTTTTGCATTTTATGGGCTGGAACTTCATTTCCAATTACAATAAGCTCAGAAAGCCAAGTGGCACCTGGGATCATCTGAATAACAAGGCAGAAGTGCAAATTCTAGTTGATTTTATGATAGCAGCTCTGCCAGGCACTCAGCAACCACATGCAGAGAGGTTTATAGCTCTCAGGAATCCTTTACCCAGGGGAACAGCTGGCTGCATGAATTATTTAGAGAAAGCTTCACCATTTCTCTTGTGTTTGACCAATAACAAAAGAGCCAATCCCAAAATAAACTGCTTTAACAGCCCCATGCTCTGGCCTCTCAGCAGGCTGCTTCTCTCCCTTTGTGCATTGCTGCTCGCTGGGTTGAGGTAAACAAATAAATCAGGAAGGTTTCGGATGAGCCGTGGTCTATTCCACTTTCACAGTCTGTTCTTGCTGGGATGAGCCTGTATCACAGACCTCAAAGTGAAAAAGGGCTGGAAGGCACCTTAGAGGGGTTGTCTGGGCCATTTCCCTGCCCATCATAAGGGCTAGTAATAGTCAAACCTTTTCCCCAACAGGACCAATTATAAACCAATTATAATTTCCTGGATAAGATTAAAATGCTTTACATAAGTGGGGGTTTTTTAAAGTTTAAAATACTCAGCTCAGTCTTTATAATCTTATCAGCAGAATGTTTTGATTGCCCACAGCTTTGGAAAATGAGGTACATGAAAATAAACATATCTGTATGATATATATAGATATCCATTTGTGATCCTACCACCTCTAAAATCACCCCAGCAGGCTCCTGCCTGCTTTGTTTTGTGTTTACAGCCGAACGCACACGGGTGTTGGAGGATGTGAATGCTCCACTCCACCCATCATCCTGGCTCATGCTCTTCTATTCCCACCACAACAGGATAGCACCTTTCCTTGCCCTTTCTACTTCTCACTTCACAGACAAACCTTCCGATCTGGCCAGTTGTATTTTTCAAACACAGCTTCATAATCCTCCACTGCTCCATCTGTGATCAGCATGATAGCTTGGTTACACAAGCATCCTTGGCCGGCGTCTCTGAACTACAAATGGAGAGGAAGAGCATTAGTTCACAGGATTGTAGTGGTTGAAAAAGACCTTTAAGATCATTGAGTCCAACCATAAACCCAACAGTACCAATTCCACCTCTAAACCATGTCCCTGAGCACCTTGTCTGCCCGTCTGTTAAATCCCACCAGGGAAGGTGAAACAGGAGGCTTTGCAAAATTAAAAGAATAAGGAGAAAATAAGTGATGTGGAGGAACGATGCAATTTCCTGCTGCCTCACACCTTGCACATTTGCTTAAGCAAAATGACTACAGACTGACCATAAAAACCGCAACTCTGATTCAACAGCCATAACTGTCACTTTTTATGGCAGAAAATGTGAGAGGAGGGGGAAATCAGTCACGTTATTTCAGGGTAAATCCATCAATCTGCCGAAAAATAGCAGAGAAAGGCAGGAGCACATGAAAAAGAGAAGGTTAGGGCCATCAGAGCTGAAACAGGTGATGAATGACTCATAGCTGAACACGAGCC